ATTGTTGATTTATGAATTTATTAATTACGTTATCATATTATTTGCATATTTACTGTGATGACTATCCTTGGATAACTCATGGTTTATCCTGAATGTCCCTGGTCGGTCATCTATGTGGGAGCAGAGATGAAATAAGACCAGTATGACTTTAAAAATATATAGAGATATAAATTAAAGTCATAGGCACATGTAAGAGTACAAGGTGTTGGACCGACCCGCTATGAGAGAGCTGCATGGGTTAAGTCATAAGCTTCTCTCATATACAAACCATGTCACTGTGCCCTTTGACCTGAGATCATCATGGATTCCTACATGAGAAACGCTTAGCTTTGACCTAGTCAAAAGTCACTTTTGACCGAGTGATCATAAAGACTATGTTCAGGCTTAGTGGTTTTTCATGCGGAGGAATGTGAATGGTCAAGATGGAATTTGTCCCTCACATTCGTAGAGAGATATTATTGGGCCCCTCAATGAGTGAGTCTGAGAAATGTATGGCCATACTATAATGGAAAGGTAGTTCCATTTCTATACTCAGACTACTCAGGGATCGAGAAAGTAACGGTCATGAATAGGAGGATGACGTTCTCCATGCCTCATCCATGACCAAAATGTCGTGTGACAAAAGGGACGTGATATGGCTGTATGAAAGGTTACATCGTTCAACGATCCTCATATGATTTGGGTAGTCGTGATGTTTTGCTAGAGACCGCTTACGACTTGTGAGTCATTATAGTTAATGGCCCACTACCAACTTCATATGGGCCTACAGGGTCGCGCACAAAATAGCCCAACACGAGTTATGATGTCCAGATTCATTGAATCTAAGATATGTCCAGATTCAATGAATAATATAGGGTGGACGTGTATATATATATAAATTCATATCTATATACATATTATATAAATATAAGAGATATTAATTGTTAGATTTAATTTATAAGGATAAATTAAATCTATATAAATTAATTCCGTCATATCTTTATTTTGAATTAAATAAATAGGTGAATTAAATCTATGAGACGGATTTAATATAAACCATATTTATTTAATTGTTCTCTTATCTGATTAGGCAATATTTGATATTGTATTAATTTCGGAATTAATTTAGGATTAATTTTGAAATTAAATATCATTCATAATACCTATAGCATCCTATATATTTGATATTAGGAGCTAGGGTTTTGAGTGAGAGAGTGAAAACACTTGCAGATAAGAGACAGCCAAAAATTGGAGAAGGAGGACGGATTCTTTGAAAAACCCTAGACGGACAAAGAGACGCTAGCACGTCGTTCGTGACTAGAGAGCTATTCGTGTGGATACCAGTAGAGGAAGCCGACCAGAGTTGTCGACTTCGAACGACAAAGGAGGCGAGCAGAGGCATCCTGAACGGCGGAATCACCGAGCCACCAAGAAATCGAAACATCGAAGGTAATGCTTCTTACTACTTGACTTAAACACGATCGGTAGATCCGGGCAAGGGATTGAAATTTTAAATTTGTTTTCCGTTGCGCGTTTTTTAATTCCTTCAGGGACGGGGTCTTTACTTGCTATTTTCCAAATTGAGGGTCTCAAATCGTAATTTCACATATTGGGGTCTTTATTTGCCATTTTTCCTTATATCATTTGTGTAGATTGTTCCTGACCATTTGGCTTGAGCACAAGATCTCTATTATGATAATTTTTGTCATTGTTTTAGTAAGAGGTGATTACTTTTCGCTTATTATATGTGTTAATATATTATTTGTGTATATCTTGGTAGCATGAGAATATGAATTGCTACATGATACTTTCTACATTATAAAAACTGTCTTATGGGACATTGGACATAAATGAAGAGTTTTCATAAAGGGAGGATTTAACTCCAACTATTATTTGGTTGCATCTTTGATGACTAAATCTTGTTTAGAGTTTAATCCTACTTTGTAATAAGGCTACCATCATAATAGTTTTGTACAATTAAGGTTTACCCTTTTCTAGTTAACTTTTCAATTGAAAAATGTTTGATTAACTAATACAGATTTAAATATTAAACTCAGAAACTAATTATAATTACAAATAAAATAAAAGAAATAACCAACACTAATTACTTTAATTATTTTTCATTATTTTTAAATTAATAAAAATTCTCTTTCCTTAGGCTTTATGAATAATGAGCCTATGAAGACCATCAAATTTGGCAGTATTTTTATTTATTTATTTGGGAAAATCCTGAAAAATACTTTTTAAATTTCAAATTTTCAAATGAGAAATTATTACAAAAATGAGTTGTAATTTACTTTTAAGTATAATTAATTATTATTAAAATATAGTAGTAAAGGGAGAATCCTAATAAAATTTGACTGAAATACCTAAATCCAAATTAAGGCTTACATTTTTAACAAATTCTTAATGAGGCCATGAGGCCTAATTTAGAATTTTTGAATGTTGTCAAATGGTTAAAATACCTCCCTTTAATTAAAAATAAAAATTAATTATTTTACTCCTCCCAAGTAATCTCTCATCTCTTACGATTATTTTGTAGGAGTAAAAAAACACAAGTGATTTTATAGTTTTCAAAATTTGTATGTTTCACTAAAAGCTTTAAAAATATTCTAATAAAACATTTTAAATTACAACATAAATAGCTTGAAAATAAATATTTTTTATTTTTGTTGATAAATATTTATTTTAAGATTTTAAAATGTCTTAATTACAAGAAATATTTAATACTGAGTTATTATAAATAACCTTTTTGGGTTGGAATCGCTTAAGTAAATGAAACTAACAAAATTATGAGAACTTAGTGTTAAATATTTTTTTGTAATTAATATATTTTAAAATTTTAAAATAAATATTTACCAACAAAAAACAAAAAAAATTATTTCAAGACTATTTATGTTGTAATTTAAAATATTTTATTAGAATACTTTTGAAAGTTTTGTTTATATACACAAATTCTAAATATTGTAAAATTGCGAATATGTTTTTTAGTCCCAAAAATAATTATAAGATATGAGGGACAACTTGAAAAGATAAAAAAATCAAATTTTCTTTTTAATTAATGAGGGGCATTCTGGTTATTTAACAACATTTAGAAATTCCTAATGAGGCCTCATAGACTGATTAGAAAATTATTAACAGTGGAGGGTTTTATTTAGATTTAGGTATTTTAGCAGGATTTTATTGGGATTATCCCTATAGTAAACAAGATTGATTTAAAATTTTAAAATTCAAAAAGGTTTTTTTCCCCCAAAATTTTCCTATTTATTTCATATTCTTATTTATTGTAGGCCATTATAATCTTTTTTTTTTTGTTACATCAGGCGGGATCGAACCCGCAACACACGCACCCAACACACACACATGCCACTCGGCCAAACGGCCAGTGGCTAGGCCATTATAATCTTAATTCTTAGGATTAAATTGAATCTCATCATTAATAGAAATATAAATCTAAAAGAAAAGGAAACTAAAAAATTATTATTACTAACGCGGATTTGTCCTTGTAAATTAATTAAGTACCGAAATTTGTGTTTAAATTTTTGTAAATACTCCTCTGTTCTTTAATATGAAACCTAATTCTTGAGATGATTTTGGTCTTAAATATAAGACCTAATTTTTATATTTATCAATTTTTCTTAAATTACCCCCATGGATACTTCTTCAACCATGATCAAGTAAAAGAGGGAGGGAAAATATTAAGAAAGATGATTATAGTATTTTAGAAAAAATTTCATATTTCTTATAATTAACTAACTTACATAACTTTCTTAATCTAATCAAATTAGTTAAATAGGTCTTATATTAAAAACCAGAAAAGTATAAAATGTAAAATTGGCAGAATTACCTCTCTGAGCTTGATAAAACTTTGATGATTTGATAATACTCATAACAAGTATCGAATAGAAAAACCATTAATATGTGGTTTCCACACCAAGTTATTATATATATATATATAAATATATCATATCTTTTCTGTCTTTTTTTTTTTTGCTCTTAATGTATTGGCTGTGTTTAAAATTTTGTGGACACGAGAACTGGGGCAGCATTATATTATTAACGATGAATGAATAAATTAAGAATGGCTTAGGCAGAGACGACAAAAAGTCAATAAGTGAGAAAAAGAAAGGAAGGAAATAGGTAGAAAATGATAATCAAGCTAGCTCACCCACGGCTTCACCGTCTTTTCATCATCCTCTCATCTTAAAGCTTCCCCACTCTCTCTCTCTCACCCTGCCCCAACTGATAACGACTGCCAGCCACCTATCCTCCATCACTCTGCGTCTGTATACCGATACATATATGTTTATATATATCTTCCTCTGTGAGATCATCAATATTTATAAAAGTGTTAATATAACTTCAAGTCTCTTGAAATTTAAATTTATTTTAGTTTTGGTCCCTCAAATTTTAAATTTGTGATTTTAGTCTCTACAATTTATTTTGTCATAAAATGTTGTCATTGAATGTGTAATAACGTTAAAATCTACTGAAATATCATAAGGAGTGTACAAACAGCAATGTGGACTCACAAGGTAACACTTAATTGAAAAAGAAGAAGAAAAAGTCCTCAAAATACAGTTATTTAGCCCTTCTTTGTTAGTTATTCGTTTGAGAAGTTGTTCACCAATATTTTTAAGAACTCATTCCCCATATGTTCTCTACGTTACGTTTTAAGGATTCTATTATCCATACCAAATCCAGCTAGAGGTGATTTGGTGAGTTTACATAATCATTTTAATACAGTTGGCAACACTTTAGTAGATTTTGACACATTAACACTTTTAGGACTAACATTTTAAGACATACTAAATTTCAGATATATGCTTGAAATTAGAGGATCAAAATTAAAATAGATTTAAATTTTAGTGACAAAAAATTATATTAACTCTTTATAAAATATAAAATGAATAAATTACCATATCTTCAGATTCACAGTAGACCGACTCAAATTATTAAATAAACATAGTCCTTTTGTCTATATAAACACAAGCTCTGTGTCTGTCTCTCTCCCCCTCTCTCTCCCCCCCTCCTGATTGATGCTTCTTGTCCGCCCTTGGAGTTTCTCTCTATATCCTGAGGGTCCTTCTGAATCTCTTCCTCCTTGTTAATCTTTCTCCACTTTCTCACTTTATACATATTTTCCCGGGAAAGTAAATACGAAAGTTAATGATGGTAGATCTTCAAACAGTTTGCTGCTTGTGTGGTGATATTGGTTTCCCTGACAAGCTTTTCCGCTGCAACAGATGCCACCATCGCTTCCAGCACTCGTATATATCATCTTGTTTCTCTCTCCTACTCACAAATATATAGAAATAGCGATCTTTATCGTTCCATAAATCATATGTTTTGGGTTTCATTTCTCTGACTTGTATCAGATGAACTTCGTTTGTTTTTAATGTCTATTGTATATACAATGGGTTGATCTGATTTAAACCAAACCTAAATCTTACTGATTATAACTCTTTCAGGTACTGCAGCAACTACTATGGAGAACTCGCTGAGATTGAACTGTGCGATTGGTGCCAAACGGAAGAGAAGAACGTCGCAAGACACAGTGGTTCTTATCATCATAGTAGATCATCGGTAGTGGCCGGAAACGACATGGGATCAAGTTCCAGGCGGTCTGAATATTCCAGTGAGAAGGTCAAGCAACATCCTGATCGTGACGATCAGAGTAGTGGCGGCGGCAGCGGCTCCGATAAGGGAAAAACCGCTACCAGCGGCGTTCCTTCGCCGCGTCCTGGCACACGCAGGTACAAGCTTCTGAAGGATGTTATGTGCTAGAGATAGAAGGAAAAAGAAGAAGAAAAGTAAACAAAAGGGTCTAAGATCAAGAAGAAAATTAAGTCAGTATAGTAGTGATCGTGGATCAGTTCAATTCTCAAGCCTCAGAGATTATAGAAGAAGGTTGCAAATAATTAATAGCGTGTTTTTGAGTGGATTTTGTCAGTAAAAATAATTTCTAGTGTGAATTATAAACTATATATGTGTAACTTTTATGATAGTGAACTCTTCCATGGATAATCTATGGCATAAGTTTCAAGCTCTTTCTCATTTTGCTTTTACGATTACTTTACTTCCTCATCAATTAAGGCTAACAAATTTAGATAATGACGACTTTTCTGGTGCATGCAATAAATTGGTTTACTTACTAAAGCTATAGACAAAATGAATTTTGGGTGACAGAAACGGAAGAACAAGTTAATATTAAGTACACATGAGAGCAAAGTTTAAGTGCATGTTTGGGAGCTCTGGTAAAAAAAAAAAAAAGGTGCATGTTTGGGAGAACTTTTAAAACTAAGATCTTGGCTCAAATCATGGGATTATTTCTCAAAAGCAGAGTAGTCAAACAAGAGTTCAAAACCCAAAAGAGATTTTAACTCCTAAAATCATGGTATTTTAAACCTTAAGAGAATAAGAAAAGTTCTTAATTGAATTTCCGTTCAACCAATTGAACTAATACTTTTTTTTTTTTTTAAATGAAAGCCACCTATATCAGTGGGCTTAATTATTTTAATCTTGTTTTTTGACTTCTTTTTTCCTTTTCCATTATGTCATAGTGGTGGGAAGATAGATATGAGAGAGAAAGAGATAGAGAGAGATTGGCTTTCACACACACACATATATAAAATGAATCTTATACTTTGTGTCTAGTTGAGTCTGCGGAAGAGAATTGAATGCATTTGGTTAGCTTTTGAGGGAGAATTCATGGTACCTGAAGCCTACTTGCTTTTGCAGATTCATTGAAAGCCCTTTTAATTGCTTGGCCCTCTTCCATATCTCTATTATCGTCCATGTCAAAGGAAAGGTCTTCTTTGCAGCTACAACTTTATCTCATGTACCTTGATGGTACCTTCATGGGGAATTTTTTTTATTTTTTAATTAAAAAATAATAATATTGTAAGAAACCTAAAGAAAAATGGTTGGCGATTAAGATATGTATGTACGGAGTTGTCAAGTGCTGGCTGATTCTAAGCCATTCCTTTATTGTCATGGAACTGTATTGATATTTATATGTCAAAATTTTGTACTGTGTTTTTTGACTCCTAATTATTTTTTTTAAAAAATCTCTTCTAAAGTACAAAAGCTGATTCAGCTATCCCCATCCACTACTGTATCTGATTGATTTGGGCTATTAGTAAATTTAAATAAAACTTAATAAATGAGTGATAATATATGTAATTTGTTATTAATTTGACTTGGGATAGATTTCATATTTTATTTTGATGCATATACCAAAATTGTAGTAAATTATAGTTTTCGTAGTTCATAAATCATTTAACTTTTTAAATTTATAATATCTAGAACAGTTTTCCCCAACAGAATAGTTTACTTCTTTATATATTTTAATTCCTTCAATTTATTTTCACACATTTCAAAAAATTTTAACCTTAAAAAGATGTTTTATTACAAGAATAAGAAATACATTCTCACTCAGAATAAAAATTATATAAGAAAAACGTAAACAAAATCTTTATTTGTAATATGATTTTTGCCACAAAGAAAAATATACGTGGGATAAATGAAAAAGAAGAAACAACGATTCTAGTGTTTAGATGATCAGCCAGATGTTACATCCCCTTTAATTTCCAATTTGTCGTCAAAACTTTCTTTGTTTTGTTTCATAGTCCATTCACCATAGTTTCACTGAAAATATCTGTTTCACATGCACGCATTATAAAAGTATTAAATTTAACTTTTTAATTTTGTTTTCCCTAAAATTTTGTCTATATGTATTGCACTCTAATGGTATGATTAACTATATAATATGTTAATACTCTTATCATAGGTATAAAAGCAATAAATTAAAAAGGAAGGTACTAAATAAAATTAATTCATATATATGACAAGAAATTAGCAAAAATATAATAAAAGTATATAAACTATAAAAATATAATAACAAATTTTTAATTTTAAATATATTAACTTAAAATTGAGCGAAACTATGGAGACAAAACTATGATGTTATTTATTGATGAATCTAATAACATGCACTTAAGGATTCGAATTTCAATTTGCCCCCAACTAATTAAACTAAAACATCTAATCAACTATACATAAAAACGTACTTCGTCTGTTTGTTAGTATCCCGATCTATCGCTTTTGATGTACGTACCCGTCTTTGGTTTCATAGGAATGACCCACCTAATAGTTCATAATTTTGTTCATGATCAGCAGCCAACACTCAGAGCCAGCTAGCGAGCTAACTTTATATCGTTATCATATATATACCATGGGTTATGTCTCCAATTTAATACCAACAAAGATAGTAAGTGGTCTCATTTCTATAAGAGGTAAAACATATTCAAATTTTAGAAAGCGCACTTATTAAGAGAGTTTTAACTTTAATATTTTTGGCTCAACAGAAATTAGTCTCAAATGCAAAATAACTTGAAGATACTCTGAGCTATACCCACACAAAAAAAAAAAGAATTTAATAACTAGAAAAATTAGTTAAATTGATTAATTGTAACAAATATGTCTTAGTTTTCCTAAATTACTCTCTTTAACTATGTGTATAATTAGCCGCCTTTTCATTGGAAATCCCTTGACACACAATCAACAGGGATATTTTGAGCAAAAAAAAAAAATATAAATTTGAGAAGCAAGGAGGACTGAAATATTATATTTGAGATCAAAGTGAATTCTTTATTTAGTTCTTATATTTAGTATAGGGGATCAAAATATCTTTCATAATCAAAATCCCTTTCTTTTATTTATGGAGTTGGTCTAACTTTCATGTGATTCAAATTTGGGGATGAAGGAAAAACACATGATGACCCAACAGGTAGCGGTCTTCTTCATCATCTATGTCCACAACCTTACTTTCTTTCTAATCCATCATCAACATGAGTCACATGCATTCATCAGTTGGCTTCCCTCTTCATAAAATACCCTTCTTTCCTCTTGCCTTTCATTGTCCAACTTACAAGCAAAAGTTTTCAAGTGTAGTAGGATCTAGCATATGAGCAATAATAATAATGCTTGTCCACATGGTCCTTCTGAGTCAATTCTCTTTCTTCAATGCAAAACATTTAAAGCTTGAGAGATTTGTATTATTGAGAACAACTCGTCAAATAGCTATTTAGTTTTTTTAAGATGGGGTTGATGACTTTTGTTTTTTCCCCTCATAATGATAACGACCTTTTTTATTGGTTTAAGGTGCATCCAACATGCAAAAGTATTTTCTTAGGTACATTCAGCACTTTGAAGTATTTTTTAGGTGTGTCTAGTACTGTGAAGTATTTTTTGGTACATACAGCATGTCATAGTTTTTTTTTAAGTGCATCTAGCACCCAAAAATATTTTTAGGTACATCAAATACCAAGGAAAAAAAATACTTCAAGGTACTAGACGAGTCTAAAAAATATTTCAAGGAATTGATGCACCTAAGAAAATACTTCAAAGTGTTGTATGCACCTTAACCCTTTCTTTATTTATGGCTTCTATTCATGTCCATGCACAATGCAAAAGCCTTGCTAGAAAGGAATTATGTGGGATAGAAAATACATATACCATCAAGGGGATTGTAATGGCTTCATAAGTGCCCAGATTGAACTTTGGATTACTGGATTGAAAATCTCAAGTGAGGAGCTTGGGGACTAGACATAAGCTTAAGTTGAGGAGATAAACCAGGATAACTCACTATTTTTGTATTCTCTTTTTCCTCTTTACATTTTACACTTATCCTTAATTATCTATATTTGCTATTTTGCTATTTGCTTTATTTAACTAAGGCAAGGTAAGTATGGCATAAGCATATTATTAAGTGGGTTAACTGAATTACCTCATAGAAAACGACCTATAGGTTGTAAGTGGGTCTTTGCTAAGAAATATAACTCAAATGGTAGCTTAAACATATACAAAGGACGTTTAGTTGCTTAGGGTTATACTCACATTGAAGGTATTGATTATACTGATATTTTTTTCCTTGTAGCCAAATTAACCACTATTAGATTGTTATTTGCTCTTGCTGCTGCTCATAATTGGCATCTTAAGCAATTGTATGTCAATAATGCCTTTTTACAAAGTGAAATTTTTATGTGGTAACAGCTTGTATATTTTATTGAGAATAGAGTGTTACATATATAGGGCAAAAGAGAGGATAAAATTAGATCTGATTCTATTCCTAGAATCTCAGATAATAAATATAGATTACAAGAGAAAATAAATTGCATAATTTTAGGGATCCTAATCTCACACATAAAAGGAAAACTAGGTCACAAGATAATGGGCCCATGAAATTGACGGTAAGCCCAAACTTCCTTTAACACTCCCCTCAAGCTGATAAATAGATATTGATCATTCTCAGCTTGCTTACAAAGCCTTTAAATTTCTCTTGAGTGAGAGACTTAGTCATCACGTCAGCTGTCTGTTGTCTTGAAGGAATATAGGATAAATCAATCACCTTTGATTCTAGTTTTTCTTTGATGAAATGGCGATCAATCTCCATATGTTTTGTGTGATCATGATGGATAGAATTATTTGCTATCTTAATGGTTGACATGTTGTCACACCATACTTTGATTGGTTCATTTTCATAGATTCTGAGCTCCTTTGATAACCTAACCAACCACATTCCCTCACAAATTCAAAGTGCCGATGCTTTATATTCAGATTTAGCTGAACGTCGGGACAACACTAGTTGTTTTTTGCTTCTCCAAGTCACTAGATTACCCCATAAATAAGAGCAATACCCTGCGGTAGATCTTCGGTCTGTCTTAGATCCTTCCCAATCAGCATCAGTAAACATCTCAATACCTCTAGTATTTTTCTTTGCAAGGTACAACCCTTGTCCTGGTGTCCTTTTTAAATACCTAAGAATTCTAAAAACAGTAGTCATGTGTTCCTTTTGAGGATTGCTTGAAAATTCACTAACTACACTAACCGAATAGCATGTATCAGGTCTAGTATGAGACAAGTAAATTAATTTTCCTACTAGTTTCTGATATCTTTCTTTGTTTATTGTTGTACCATGAGGTCTTATGGTCAATATTAAGTTCCATTAGAGTGTTTGCTAGTTTTGCCCCCAACATTCCTGTCTCT